TAAAACAGATTTTTTAGAAATACCTTTAACCAGAGTTGACTACGAGTGAAGTGTAAAAGAGGCCAGTTTTCCAAGTGGTGGTTTGGAGAAATACCGTATATACTTTTAATAAGGAGGGCATTGTTGAACATCAGCAGGAAAGGAGTGGAAACTTAGTCTGTTTCTTTAGTCTGTGTTGTGGAGGACTGGAAAAAAAAACAACACAAAACCACCCCCAAATAACAAGCTATTCTAGAAGGTTCAGTTACAATATTTAAGACAAAAGGAGGTGAAAGTCTATGAGTTGGCTCCTACCACAGCTGAAAGCAAGACAAAAATATCTATACCAATTATGGAGGAATATTAGCTATATTCCTAAAATTAAATATTCTAGTGACTCAGCAAATAACAAAGAAATTAAGGAATAGCAATTTCTTAAGACAATAACAGAGTAAGCAGGCACCAAGAATACACCAAAACTAATTAGATAATAATTGGGAAGACAGCCCTGTTTCATAGTGTCGTATTGCAGCTCTAAAAAATCCCCAATGAAAACGGAGAGCATGGTTTTGTATTTTTAGGTGCCAGAGTTAACCTCGTGTAATTTAACAAATGAAAAGAGGGAGACCCAGATCACTAGACACCTATTAATCTGACTTTAGTAGTTTGACTAAGCTTTTGAAGAAATGAAGGAAAGAGTAATTAAACACCTGGAAGTAAATGGAAGGGAGAGTAAAATGCAGCAGATGTTTATCAACAGTCAATTGTTCAGGATTAACCTGATCTCCTTCTCTGATAAAGTATAGTAGTGTCTTCTCAAACAGGAGAAATGCAATAGAGCTAGTTTGTCAGATGTCAATAAAACATTTGATATACTGTAATTGTGGAAATTATTAGCTAAACCAGGGAAGGTGAGGTTTGAGAGAGGAATAGCAAAGTGAGATGTGAACTGGCAACTGGAATTGCCTCACGACTTACACTGATGATTTAACAGCAGGCTGAGAGATTAGAGTTGCTTAGACATCAGTGCAAGAGCTGATCCTGTTTAATGGTTCAACCTTGGCTCAAAATTAGGAATATCTTGACAAATTGTGCTGATGATACAGGTTAAGCCTAGAAAAATAAGTAAAAAGATTTGGATGACACCACGGAAGTTATAGCACAGAGTAATGCTGTTGACAACAATAGCAGGAATTTCTGTATAAAGATGGAGCTCGTTGGTTGGAAGTGATTGAAGACAAGGATGGGAAAGTACTGAAGGTATTTAATGTATTGAGCAATCTCAGGATGACTTTGAGCCACTACTCAGAGGTAGTCAGGAAAATGGTATATATCAAGCAAAATAATTTCAGTAGAGAAATACAAAAATGTTGATCAACTCTGGAATCACAAAACATTGGTAAGACCTCCTCCAGAATACTCACTAGATCACAAGTGTAAGTGGGAAGAGAGCTATGAGGAAAAACAGTAAAAAAATCTCTTTTCCAGCAGGAGACTTGTGTTCATAAAAATAGCAGCTGAGAGAAGTTATGATTGCTTCTGCAAAGTTATTAGATGTACATCCTGAAGATGAACAAAAGTTGTTTAAGACACAAGTGAATGTTACCAAATAAAATACCAGGCAAAACAGCATCCGTAAACTCTCTATGGATAAATTTTGGGGTGGAAATGATAAGAAAGTGTAGCACACTTGGATGTATGAAGTTATAAACTTGCCTTTCAGAAGGTGCCATAGAGCAAGAAAGTTCCCAAAATGGAGTTAGCAAGATTTTGAAAGCAGCAGTACTTAAAATATAGGTGTTCACAATGGGAAGGGACAAAACTTGGTGACTAGGAACTCACTTGCAATTCTCTGTTTTGTGGCAGATTCTAACTTCAGAGCCTGGTTCAAAAGGGAAGTGTGGTTTTGAAGGGGTATTTTTTTTATGTAATGCAGCCTTCTTCCTAAAAGGAGACTAAAGAATGGAATTGCCTAGAAACATAGTTTTTTAATACAAATGAACTGCAAATAGAGCATACGTTGGTTTTGAGTGTATGCATTTTGTGTATATACTAAATGAAAGTGGATGAACTATATGATTGCATATGCTTAAATAATTTTAAAAGTACAAATTTCTTAGCAAGATGTATACGTAAATAGATAGGTAAGGTACCTTCAATCTTACCAGTATTTGTACCTTACCATCACTCTATGGTAAGAAAAGCATTTGAAAGATAATGGAGTTTACAGTTAGAAATTATATTCCTCTTGCTATCTCTACTGAATTCAAAAGGAGTTTTTTTCATTCTGGTTACCTAAGATTTCCTGTAAACTCTATTGTATAGGTTAAGGTTTGTCCAGAAAGTGGACACATGAGCAGCAGGTTGTGTTACAGAAGTTTGCTAACGGATTTGATAGAAAATAAATCTTACAACTCTATCTGATAAAATAAAGTAACAGAAAATTGAGGGTGAAGGGAGGGCTTAAGGAAATGATCCTCTAATCTTATTTAAACTCCAATTAGGACTAATCTTAAGATATTGTTTGCATCTTACTTCTAACTACATCCTATTAAGAACAGGGAAAAGCAGATGAGTAAAAAAGAAATTTTGCAGATGCAGAGCGGGCTACTCCAGCCATCATACTAGAAATATAAAATTAACATCAAGGAGTTTGCTGAATATCTCTGTTTTTATGACTTGATATGCTCCATTAAATGATACAGATAAATATCTGTTTTTCATATTTCCCTAGATTAAGTCATTTACCTCAGTTATAGAGTCAATAATGCAGTTTCTTTACTAGTTATGGTACAATAAAAGTAAGTTACACCACACTAAAATGTGAAATTAGTTGCTGGCTTTAAATGTGAGACTTCATATAAATAGCTGACAAAATTCACATAGAAAAATGTTTAGTTTGGTCATTGGTAAAATACTTCTAAAGTACTGTGTGTTCAAATGTAAAAGAAGAAGAAAATACATCAAAAGCAGTTATTTTGAAAAGCTGGAAAATACAAAACCATATTCAGATTTAGGAACTTTTGTAGATGTTTATATCCTTGAAAAAAAGTTACATTTAT